CATTCATAATAGATACATAATGCATCTCTAAGATTCATTCATAATGAATCTATCACATTCAATGCATTGACACTATCTCCATTAGTCTTCTATACATTATATATATCTATACTATTATAAAGTGAACACAATTTCTGGTGTCCTGAAGCTTTACTCTCCCCATGCCATGTAACAGTATTTTTTATTTTTTTAAAAAAAGTTAAACAAAGAGATGGACAAGGCTTGAACCCATGACCATGGGTTTAAGTACGAGGACTCATACCACTTAAGTTAAGTACACATTATAATATTAATTTCATTATTATTTTTTTTATTCCTACTTATTTAAATTGCACACACATCGTGTGTGCCACCCACTAGTATATATATATAGGTGCATTCATTAACAATTAGTTACCATCTAATTGATGTACATGTATATTGCTTAATGAGATGAATCTAGTATAATCATGTATAAGGCACATTAAGCCATATTCAAGAAAAATTCTTACAATCTACTACTTGGCTTGCATGATTAAATTACGTCATTAGATTATAATAATATGACCAACGTTCTTCCACTAAAAGATTGCACCATCACCATTAGATTCTATTCAATGAAATTATTAGCATCAAATCATTATAGTCAGTAATTTACACATTGATCAAGACTGTACAATGGTTATAGTGTTAATATTTTCCATCAACATTCACTTGCAATCTTTAGCTTCGTCAATGCACCTGTAAAAGTTTGAAGATGTCTTAAAATACATATATATATATATATATATAATTAAAAAAATTTACTGTAGATTCATAATAAACTAAGTAAAAGAAACTGACATGATACAATCAGATATCCAAATAGCATTAAACATTCTCATATACTAGTCCAACTATATTAGCAATTAACATAGGCTTAATTAATCAAGTTTGGACCTCAACACATGCTCCATTAGGTGCACAACTTTTAACAAAAAACTAAACAACCTAATCTATATGGCAAGACTTTATCATCCTCGCACAATCAACAAGACTAAGTAACTTAATAGATCAAAACAAAATATATATAAAAAAAAGGGCTTAAATCACAAAAATGGCATTAGGAACATAATGGTGATTAATGTTAATTCATCTATAACGGTCCCGTTGTTTATATCTTCTTCTAAATTGTGCACAAGTATGAAGAATGAAAACAACAAACATAATCATTACTAACATAAGGTGATTATAACATAACATTTATCACGAACATAATACATTTATTTCAAGTCTAAACATGATAAACTTTCTATTAAGCCCATGTGCGCAACATGTTCTTGAAAGAGCTTAAGTGTGAGACCATTAGTGAAAGGATCTGCCAACATGAGTGTTATGCCAATATGAGAGATGAAAACAGTCTAATTCAAAACCCTTTCTTTAACAACTAGATACTTGATATCAATATGCTTTGATCTTCCTGAAGTTTTGTTATTATTGGAGAACAAAACAGTAACATCATTATCACAATAAATCTATAAGGACCTCGAAATTGAATCGAAAAGTTGTAATCCATATATGAAATTCTTTAGCCATACTACATGGCATGTAGCTTAATAACATGCTATGAACTCTACCTCCATAGTGGAAGAGGCTGTCAGAGACTGCTTATGACTCTTTCATGAAATGGGTCCATTAGCAAGCATAAAAATGTACCCAGAAGTGAACTTTCGAGTGTATTTACATCTAGCATAATCAACATCTAAATAACCAATTACTTCAAGGCTGTTTGATAAGTAAGCATGTAATCCTTAGTGCCTTATAAATACCGTAACACTTTCTTAACTGCTTTCCAATGACCAAGTTCGGGATTACTTTGGTATCGACCAAGCATACCAACCACAAATGCTATGTCAAGACGTGTATAAACTTGAGCATATATAATGCTCCAAACTACAGAGGCATAAGAAATTTCTTTCATTTGTTCCCTTTCTAAATTATTTCTGGGATACTAAAATTCACTAAATTTATCACCCTTAACTATAAAAGCAACACTACTTGAACAGTTTTGCATGTTGAACCTTTTTAAAAACCTTTTTGATATAGGCTCCTCGGAACAATCTTAAAATGCCACAAGACCTATCTCGCTGAATTTCTATCCCAATGACAAAAGAGGCTTCAATAAGATCTTTCATTTCAAAATTCCTCGTAAGAAATTACTTTGTCTCATGTATCATTTCCATATTATTGCTAGCAAGCAATATATCATCAACATACAAAACTATAATGCAGATATTGCTCCCACTAATTTTTAAGGTAGACACATTGATCAACCACATTATCCTTAAAATTAAATTTGGTGGGAACTTCAGGGAATTTAAGATACAATTGTTGAGATCATTGCTTTAGACCATATATGGACTTCTTAAGCCTGCAAACCATATTTTTTTCCTTACTTTCATCCTGAAAACCTTTAGGTTGGTCCATGCAGACCACTTCATGCAAGTCACCATTTAAAAAGGTTGTTTTAACGTCCATTTGATGTAACTCTAAATCATAATGAGCTACTAAGGCCATGACTATTCTCAAAGAATCCTTATTAGAAATAGGAGAATAAATTTCCTTATAGTCCATCCCTTCTCTTTGAGTGTCCTTTAGTAACTAATCTGGCCTTGTGTCTTTCGATATTTCCTTTAGGATCACGCTTGGTTTTAAAAACCCATTTGCATCTAACAGTTTTGACTCCCTTAAGCAATTCTACAAGATCCCATACATTGTTGTCTTTCATGAATTTTAACTCATCTTTTATGTCATTTAACCATTGAGTTGCATTTCCATTATTCATGGCTTGGTCATAAGAAACACGATCATTCTCCAAGTCTATATCACACTCATTTAGGTAAACCTCATAGTCATCTGATATGGTTGGTTTCTTTTCTCTTTGTGATCTGCGTAAAGATTGTTTTGCAACTGGGACAACTTCTTTTTCAATGTAAGAAATCTCTTGAATACCAACGTTAGCTACAATAGGTTCAGGTACTTCATTTTCTTGGATAATCGTAGAAGTTGTAAAAGCACGATTTTCTTCCAAAGAAAGATTTTTGAGATTCATACTCCCACTAATGGCCCCGTTTGGTAAAGTTGTGGGAAAGTGATTATAGCTTATAGCTTATAACTGTGAACATAAGCTGATTTTTTACTTATAAATTAAGTTTCTCCTCCCCCACTCAAAGAATAAGTTGATTTTTGACTTACAAAAAGCTATCAGCCATATTGTTAAGCTGAACCAAACACATCGAAATAGCTTAAATTAAGCTAAAAGCTGAAATAAGCTAGAAATAAGCCCTACCAAGCAGGGTCAATGTCTTCATCCTCTAAGAACACAGCATTTCTAGTTTTAACAATTCTTGTGCTATGAATAAGACAATAGAATCTAAAACCCTTTGATCTATCAGGATATCCAATAAAATAACAACTTACAGTTCTGGGGTCTAATTTCTTTATTTGTGGGTTGAAAATTTTTCTTTCAATAGAACAACCCCATACATGTAAATAATTCAAATTAGGTTTCCTACCAACCTACAACTCATAAGGAGTTACAGGCATAGCCTTACTAAGAACCCTATTAAGAACATGTACAGCAGGTTTTAAAGCTTAACCCCACAAGAAATCTGGCAAAGAAGAGTTACTCATCATGTCCAAAAGAGTACGATTTCGTCGCTCAACTACACCATTTACTCATCATGTCCAAAAGAGTACAATTTCGTCGCTCAACTACACCATTTTGCTCAGGCATACCAGGCATTGTGTAGTTAGAAACAATACCATTCTCAGCTAAAAATAAAGAAAAAGCACTTGGATTTTGACCCGACTCAGTGAATCTACCATAATATTTACCACTTCTATCAGAAATTACACTTTTAATCCGTCTACCAAGTTGATTTTCAACTTCAGCTTTATAAAGTTTGAACATATCCAGTGCTTCTGATTTTTCACGAATAAGATACACCTAAGTATACCTAGAAAAGTCAATAATAAAAGTAATAAAATATTTATGTCTAGAAATAGTTGGAACAGTAAAGGGACTACATATATCAATATGAATTGTGTCTAATAATTCAGTAGTCCTAGTAGCACCCTTTTTCTTTGTCTTTGTGTATTTTCCTTTAATGCAATTCACACAAGTACTAAAATCAGAAAAATCAAGTGAACTTAAAATTCCATCTTTAAGAAGACATTCTATCATTTCTCTTGATATGTGGCCCAAGCGCTTATGCCACAACATAGATGAATTTTCATTCACTCGCATTCTCTTTTTATTTACCAAGTTGTTTACATGAAAGGATAAAATAGATTGTACATAAGTGGAATCTAAATTCAATAAATAAAGATTACCATATAAAGTACCAGAACCAATCATATGAGAATTATGGAATAAAGAGACTCCATTATTTCCAAACTTAAATTCATAACCACAAGAATCAAGTTATGAAATAGAAATTAGGTTTCTAATAAAAACATGAACATAAACTGTGTTTACTAAATCTAAAATGAAACCAGAGTCTAAAATTAGACGGAGGTTGTCAATAGCCTCTGCAACCGCTTCTATTCCATTCTCGACCGTAATGGTTCGTTCTCATTTATTTAGTTTCCGACTTGTAAGGTATCCCTACATGGAATTTGTTATGTGAATACTTGCACCAGTGTTAATCCTCCAAGAATTTGGTGGAACATTTATCAAAAAGGATTCATAAAACACAAAGCATTGAGTGTTACCTTTCTTGTCTAACCAACCTTTAAAACCTAGACAGTCTTTTCTTATGTGACCTTTCTCTTGACAGAAATGGCATTGAATCTTATTTTCTTCATTAGCCTTGTGAGTTTCATCATTTGCATTCTTCTTTCTTACTTTTGCCTTTCTTGAAAATCTTTTTGGTTGGACCCAAGGTTGTAAGGTGAGCCATATCAGGCTTTTCAGCTTTAAGCCTTGCTTCTTCTTGAACACACATGGCAATTAACTCGCTCATCTTTCACTTATCTTTCTACATATTATAATTGATCTTGAAAGGACCAAATTGCACAGGAGGAGAAGTCATAATGAAATGAATAAGAAAATTTTCAAAAATTTCAATGTCCATTCCCTTTAATTGAGAGGCCATGTCATTCATCTTTAAGATATGTTCACGAACACTACTCAAACCATCATATTTCATTGTCATCATTTTAATCATGAAAATACTAGCAAGGGATTTGGAAGTTCCAATGAATTGTTCTTCAATATATTTCATATAGCCCACTGCACTTTCAAAAGCAGGGATTGCTCCTTGAATTGCAGGTGTAATTGAGCCTTTCATAATCATTAGACTTAAGCGATTAGAGCGTTCCTATTTATCATATAAAGCCATGTGTTTCTTAGAATTTGTATCATTAGGCTTTGTAGGTACTGGCTCTCTTAATGCATAGTCTAAATCCATAATTCCCAAAACAATTCCAATTTGTTCCTTCCATTTCTTAAATTTAGTTCCACTCAAAGCTTCAATACCAGACAAGTAATTATTAATTGCAGTGGGATTGAATGCTGCAAACACATAATATCCATTACATAACTTAATATAATCAAGAAAACTACTTTTCACATGTCATGAATGAAAATAGCACCACAAGTTAAATATATCTAACTAGAAAACATAATTAGTTAGATACGGAATCAAGTTATCCTTCCATTGGGCCGAAAAACAATATATTTTGGTAATTTCATAAAAGTAAATGAGATGACTAATAAAAATAAACAACATAAAATAAAATAAAATAATCATTAAGACCGTAACGAGTTTATCACCGTTGGGCAGAAAAACTCATTGTTATATTTATTATACTAATCATCTCGGCTGTTCAAATATACATAGTGTTGAGCCTCCATTAGGCTGATCAACAATGTTTCAACTCATAAGGTGTGTAACAAAACATTATAAGTGCATAAGGTATTATCTTAATTACCGCTTGTTCAATAATGTACAATTTTTTATTTTAATATCAATAGAATAAAAGATTAACCAAAAATAAAGATAAAATTGGACAAGTGTAAATCAAGGCTATACACTTGTTACACAAAACATCATCATAAAATGAAATTCATACTTATACGTTTCATGCATCAGAATTGAGAACCAAGCTCTGATACTAATTGATAGAAAACTTTGCAGAACATAAACTAAAAGCCGTTAAGGATTCAATTCCATACATGAAAACTATATGAATTTCTACTATACAAAATAAGTGTATACGTATCTTGATCCTTCTAGTGGTGATAACTTGAGTTTTGTGATAGAGAATGTGGTTTGGGACCTTATACTATTTATACTAGTAATTTTCCCATCAAAGAATCCATTCATTCAATGAACCTCATTAGATAGATTAATGTATCTTCTACATTCATAATAGTTACATAATGCATCTCTAAGATTCATTTATAATGAATCTATCACATTCAATGCATTAACACTATCTCCATTAGTCTTCTATACATTATGTATATATAGGTGCATTCATCAATGGTTAGTCACCATCTAATTGATGTACATTTATATTGCTTAATGAGATGAATCTAGTATAATCATGTATAAGCCATATTAAGTCATATTCAAGAAAAATTCTTACAATTAGTCATGAAGATTACTTTAACATACATAGTATTTCTTTTGGGTGAGAAATTTTTGTATGCCAATTACTCCTTTTGGGTTAGTTACACTCAAAACTCTTGTATTTTCACCGTAATTTCACTTTAGTCTCTTCACTTTCAATTGTGACAGACAATTCCTTACACTTTAAGTCAAGTTGCAATATCAATCTTCCATCAATTTACCGTTAATAAGGCTAACAAAACTTGTAGTGTGAGCTAAACTTGATATTTTTTTCGTCTCATTAGTATCATTATATTTTCATCAAAATCCCACTTTAGTTCTTACAGTTTCACTAAAATTTCATTTGGTCCCTTCACTTTTAATTTCATCAACCTTATTAACAATAGATAAACGAAATGGTGAGATTACAACTTGACATAAAGTGTGAGGGATTGACTGTCACAATTGAAAGTGAAATGATCAAAATAACATTACAGTAAAACTATAGGGCCTCGTTTGATTGTCTGGATTGGATATAAGGGTTTGAGAAGGATATGTCATACCTAAGGATAAAGATGAGATATAATATATTGTAGAATATGAGTTGGATTATATATACTGTGGAGTTACTTATATTATGTTTGGTTAAGATAAGATATAGGATGGGATAAGAGGAGAGTAAATGTTTTTGACCTTTGGATGAAAGATTCGCTATATGCAACGGTGGAAATATACGATACCATGGGAGATTGGTATTGCATATCCCTATTTTGCATCATGTACTATCCAAACTTTCTATATCTAGAGCAACCAAATATGAGATATACGAAGACAAGAAAACATGTGAGACCCGCTCATATTATATCCAATCCCACCTTCATATCTGCCTTTATAGAAGGTAAACAAATAGGGCCTAGGAGTGCTAAGTATAATTAACCCTCTTATTTTATTTTATTTTATTTTCTCACCTATGTGTCTACAAAGGCCGCTGGAATTTCCACAAGTTTCTTATTTATAACCAAATTATAAAAATTATAATCCCATACAATTAATAAAACTTTATACATAATGGACTTCTTATGAATTTCAAACTTCATAACCTAGTCAAAATAAATGTAAATATCAATAACTATAAGTCATCCAGAATATATATAAGTCGTACACTAAACAATAGGACTGGGCATAGGGTTATCCAAACCGCACAATCCGTCCAACCTGAACCAATCTGCATACAAATGGGCGGTTTCATAGGCACAATGTGGGTGGATGCGGTTTGAAATATGTCATTATTGCGGGTTGCGAGCAGGTTGCGGGTTTTACCCGCACCTGCAAGAACCCGTCCGCACTTAGACTTTTTTTTATTTTTTGTTTTTTAAAAACTGTGCCGTTGATTTCATTCATCCTATTCGCACTTAGACTATAATATTGATGCTATAATTGAACTTTAATATCCATTTGGTCATTGATAAATTTTTCATATACTCAACACATTATCTTACTATATTGAGATGCAATATATACACATTTGTTTTTCTTTTCATTACTTTATTATTTTACACTTTTTTTGTCAAAAGAATTATGAAGATCGAAGATTAAATTATATATTTTTCAATTTGTTTTTGTGCAGGGTTCATCAAACATATGCATGGAATTGGAATTTTTTGAAAGTTTGATGTGATTGATGGAGTTTGCGATTTTACAAATGTTTTTATTTTATTTAATGGGTTTGAATTGAATGAAATTTAACAACAATTTATTGTTATTTTATTATTGCATTTTGGATTAATGTAAAAGTTAATGAATGTTGATTCATTAGTTATTAATGTAGAGCATTAATTATATTTTATTTAATGTTTTTATTTTATAAATTTTAATTCATTAATTATTAATGTTGAGCATTTTAGAAAATCAAGAAAAATGGCCCAAAATAAATATTTGCAAAATGGGAAAAAAAATGCCCAAAGATAAATGTTTAAAGAAAAATGTCTAATCTATAAACCGCCCGCAACCGTCCACACATCCGCGAACCCTATCCGCATGAACTGCAACCCGCATTACGGGTGATTATGAGTTTAATTTTTTCCAAACCGCACATATGTGGGCGAGTCCAAATCGCAAACTGAACCATCCAAAACCAAACCACAAACACCTCTACTAAACAATGATGTGGTCAATATGGTTGCACTAAATTAGATTGTATAATGTGCCGTTTTGGCAACTTGCCAAAAAAGCTACGTTTTGCAGCTCTTCCCAAAAAGCTAAAATGGCTTTTTACCATGAAAACCATTTGGGGAGGTAAAAAAAAGCTATTGGTAAAATTACAGTTATACCCTTCATGGATCAAAATGAGCCACATATAAGTGAAATTGTAAATTTACTAAATTGGGTGAGGATATTTTGGTCATTTAATTGTGATGTGACAGCATAAACAAATATTAATCAAAAAAGCCAAAAGTAACTTTTTACCAACTTCTTAAATCACTTTCTAAAAAAGCTAAAAAACCTGATAAAAAGTCAAAAGTCAACTTTTTATCATCTTTTCAAAACACCTCAATATAAGACACCTCGGAGAAGTCAGGATCAAGATTACTACTTGTTTATTTCTTCATCTTTCTGAGGCCTCTGGTTGTTAATTTGGGTTTGCAAATTGTGTGTTGATTGTCCAATTTAATGTAATTTTCTTTTAAGTCACGTTTGTTTAGTTCTATATATAGGATGGAAAAAAGTAAGAGTATGATGGAATTGAGTGAAAAGATTATTAATGTAGTGATATTAGATTGAAGATATAGGATAAAGAATATTTATTTATACACCACCAGATTAGTAATATATAGTATTAATATATAAAATTAATATTTTTAAATTTTTAGTATTTTTTTAATATTATAACTATTTTTTTGTTCCAAAAAATATAAATTTTGCATAAAAATCATTTAAAGATTCACTAATCCCCTCACTCAATTTCTAATCCCAACCCCCAATGGGATTGGTAGTCCTACCAATAGGGTGGAGGAATTACTAGTCTGAGGAGATAGTTATTTCTCTCACTCATGTCCTCAACTAAACACTCTTTAAGTGGGTCTCATAGACTATTAGTCCTATCTCCCTCCTTAAAGAGCCAAACAAACATGGCCTTAATATTTATAAGGGCAAATTATACTAGTTGTCCTTGTATTTTGAACTTTATGTCATTTTGATCTTTGTAATTTCAATTGACTCAATTTTGACCCTGAATTTATGATTTTGTCTCAATTTTATCTAATTGAATACAATTGTTACCATTTTTTAATTAAAAAAATGCGCACATAAGTGACATGTGTCAGGGTTTTAAGGACAAAATTATAAATTTTTTCAATTCAGTGAGTTAACGTCAATTAATTCAATGATAATTTTTCGTCAAAAATACTAACGGTATTATCAATTGGACCAAATTTATACAACATCTAAAATTAAGGATTCAAATTGAGCTAATTAAAAGTGCAGAGATCAAAATGACACAAGAAATAAATCATAAGAACTACTGGTATAATTTTCCCTATTAATAAATAATAATATCTCGTTGATTAACAATATATATATATATATATATATATGAGAGGGTAATTTATAAGTAAATTGGGTCGAACTGAGTAATGGGCCGTTCGATGGGCAACGGTAGAAAAGGGCTTGGCAAGTGGACCGTAGTAAGTAGCGCGGTCCAAGTGGAATGACAGTTACCACGATCGGAGTGGATTTAGCTCGATCATAGTGTTTGAAGCCAAGGTATGATGGCTTCACACGGTGGACCTCGCTTTGGTTAGCACGGTCATAGCAGGCCGTAGATTAGCCCGGTTTCAACAGGCTACCGAGGTACAACTGAACGAGAGCCAAGCTAGCTTGGAGTTTTGCATTGGAGCACCAAGCTTGGTTAGCTCGGTCTTAAGTTAATAGCTCGGTTGGAGTATGCATAACCAGGGTACAGGCACTGAATGGAAGATCTGAGCTGGGTTAGCTCAGTCGTACTGCCATCCAACCGGGGTAAAACCATCTCACTTGGTTTAAGCAGTGAGGGGGTTGCTGAAGGATAAGCATTATCTTTCAGGAGTGTGATTCCTAGGAGGACTCTGCATGGAGGAATAAGAGTCCTACTAGGATTATGCCACGCGGAACCTACAAAAGCTCATAACATCACCTATGGAGAGGTAACACAACTTTGATTCTCGAATACACAGAGCTTTTTTCTATTTGTCTATTTTGTTGACTTAGGCATCAGAGAGGTATCCGGCACACACCCGCCGGCTAGCTCACATTTGTGTTTTCAGGGAGTAAAGCGACGACATTTGGAGGAGCGCAGACTTGATCAACAGGATTATACGAGAAGATTATTTCTTGCTCGTACAATTGGCGCCGTCCGTGGGAATTTCATAAAGAGCAAAACCTCTTGATCAAGTTTTCCTCTCTAGTTGAAAACAATGGCGCACAATGAAGACTTGCCGCAATCTGCTATTGATGGGCAAACACCGAAAGAGGGTGGGAGGCACGAAGGTTTACCTTCTATCCCACCCATGGCAGAATTAGATTCGTAGCAAAGGAATTCACGGAGAGAAGCAAGAGAAAGACAGGGCTCAAGTCCACACCGCTCTCAAAGCCCTGATAGTCAGAGGCGGAAGATGGATTCTCAGGTTCTTGAAGATCGCATAAGGGAGCAAGACGAAGTAATAAGAAGAATGGCGGCTGACATAGAGACGATGAAGCACCAGATGAAAGGCAACACACACTCTTGCCACTCAGAAGATCGTGACAGACAAGTCACACTATCACAATCTGAAAGTAGAAGCCTCAAGTCGAGCGATACACAATCAAAGACTTCCAGGACACGCTACTCTAGGCCTGAGAGAATGAAGACTGAAAGGGCTCGAAGAAGAAAAGACACTTAGGCTCGCGACCCCCGCAGAGTCTCCGCACTACAACGATTGGTTCCTAGAACACATGGGAGTGTCGAGGTTGGAATTCCAGAGCCATGCCTTGCCTATGAACTAGCAGACAAAGCGTTAGCAAGGTTGCAGAGCTCACCGTTCATTCCGACAATAGAGAACGCACCATTACCCTCAGCCTTGGTGACCTGGGTTTAACGTGATTTGAGAGGTTGCTAGAAGGTAGCATAGCTTCGTGGGCGCAACTAGCGGAGGCATTTGTGACCAGATTCAGAACGAACACCAAGGCAGAGTTCGGCACAAACAGCGATGTCGAACAGAACACCTTCGACAAAAGTTAGCACAGTTGACAAGAAGGACTAACCAAGTAAAAAATCTTTGCCCAACTGGGGGTAAAGTGGGTTGGCAGGATTGACCAACTCTTTCTAAATAAAATCAGAGTTGGCCGGAATAACCAACTTTGAGCTCTCTTCAGCTGGGATTAGGATCTAGGCTGAAGAGGTTGGCTGGAAAAACCAACACTTCTCCTAAGCCGAGGATAAGGATCCAGGCTGCAGGACGTTTGGCTGGAAAAACCAAACACTTCGCTCAGAGTTGGCCGGAATAACCAACTTTGAGCTCTCTTCAGCTAGGATTAGGATCTAGGCTGAAGAGGTTGACTGGAAAAACCAACACTTCTCCTGAGCCGAGGATAAGGATCCAGGCTGCAGGACGTTTGGCTAAAAAAACCAAACACTTCGCTCAAAGTTGGCCGGAATAACCAACTAACCAACTTTGAGCTCTCTTCAGCTAGGATTAGGATCTGGGCTGAAGAGGTTGGCTGGAAAAACCAACGCTTTGCCTAAGCCGAGATAAGGATCTAGGCTGCAGGAAGTTGGCAGGTTTGACCAACAAATCTTTGCCCTACTGGGGGGCAATCAAGAAGTTTGGCAGGAATGGCCAAGCATTTAGCTCTTCTTCAAGCCGAGATAAGGATCCGCACTGAAGAAGGTTGGTAGGAATAACCAACATTTAGATCTCTTAAGCCGAGATGAGGATCTAGGCTACAGGAAGTTGGCAGGTTTGATCAACAAATTTTTGAACTCTTTGGCCGGGATGATGGTTACCTCAGCCAAAGCAGGTTGGCAAGTATGACCAACAAATTTTTTTTTAACTCTTTGGCCGGGATGATGGTTACCTTGGCCAAAGCAGGTTGGCAGGAATGACTAACAAAATTTTTTTGAACTCTTTGGCCAGGATGATGGTTACCTCGGCCAAAGTAGGTTGGCAGGTTTGACCGACAAACTTTTGAACTCTTTGACCGGAATGATGGTTACCTCGGCCAAAGCAGGTTGACAGGTTTGATCAACAAATTTTTGAACTCTTTAGCCGGGATAATGGTTACCTCGGCCAAAGCAGGTTGGCAGGTTTGACCAACAAATTTTTTCCTGGACCGAGATGGTTATCTCGGCCAAAGCAGGTTGGCAGGTTAAGTATAAACCGAGTTAGTCTGCTCGGCGAGACACAGAAAGAACAACTCGCCATACGATTGCAAACTCGAAGGATATATACGTTGAAGGCAAAAAAGCAAGGCTATTCAAATTTTCGGCATGACGGTGGTAACAGGAGAATGAGGATTTTGGGGGCACGCCATGTATCCTGGAAATGACGTCATACCAGATTAGTGAAAGGACATGTTGAGCAACTGACAAGGCTTAGTGGGGGCCGAACAAACTTTTTAGCTCAGCAGAGTGGGGGCGTTCTTAGCTCGGCTGGAGGAAAAA